ATTATTTGATGCCATTGACAGCTTCAAATAGCTTTATCAGTATCACTCCTTAAATTTTCCTGCAACAAATGGAGAAAAATATCTAAAAGTTTGACCTAGCTTACATGACATCCACATTTTAACAAAAATATAACGTGTGTGAACCATGTCTGAATTTAACTCAGTATTAAATATTCCATCCAATTTATTATTACTTCCTACAGAATGAGAAAATGATGACTTCCCACTGATTCCCAGTTGCCTACCTTTTTGCTTTGACGAATTTACTGTGCACTATTCACTTCTAACAAATAATTAATTCACGGCATTCGTGTTGATTGATCCTTATTCAATATTCATATCCAGAACAGCTCCAAAATACGATGTTAATGGTGAAAACAAGTACAATTTACAGTATTATTTTAGTTGATATTTTCATGGCACTAACATGGCGGCCGATTTCCGTCTCGATTATCCAGCAGATTATTGGGACTATTGTGTTTTAATTTTCAGTCGATGTAGGGCGCTAAAGTCTAATTATTGATTGTTTGACTATCGTATCAGTTGACAGATAGCTATCATTACTTCTACACTTACTCTGCAATCTAAACTTCAAACACAACATTTACAAATTGCATTTTATTTTTTCTTCTAAAGCTACCAATGTTGATAATTTTTCTTTGTCACGTGACAACCACCTATATCTGAGTGACGTCATGAGGGGATTTCCTACGGGCACCTGTCAAACGTGAGGGGATTCCCGAAATATCGAGAATGCGATAGACAGAACAACGTGTCGCGACTCCTAAAAGACAACAAGTTTATTCTATCATACTATAAAACATTTTGCCCACAGAAGACGGCCACTGTAACATGCTTCTACCAATACTGTATATGGAATAATTTTTCCTGCCAAAATCCAGATTGTCAATTTATAAGGCTAATCCTTCAGTGGATATAAGGCTTATAATTTCTGAAGAATATTACACAATTTTGTCATCAACAATGATTGATATATTATCCAGATGGGGGTTGGAGAAAGCAGTGCCGGTATTTCTGGAGGTGAGAACCAAGCCCCCCTCCGTAGATATTGTAAATGCCACTGCATTTTTCAAATGATGCTTTGATACATTTTTATTGCATAGGTCTACTCCTAAAACTATTAGCAATCCTACCACATATATTGATAATGAAGGCCACTACAAATTTTAGATGACCATGTGATGTCACTTTTGATGGGATTAAAGATTTCTCTGCTGGTCAAGTTTGCTGATTTTATTACTATATTTACAACTATCATGTCTAAACAATGATAAATCCTATATTGATAAATTCCTACTATGACTGCTATTGGATAAATCAATGCCTTAATTAGGTGGTACTGACCGAGGGTTAGTTTTATTTGTTTTGACGGCAATAATCAATATATTTTATCATCATTTCATATCTTTAAATCAACAGTACCAACTAATCAATAAAATCAACAAATCAGGACATTTTGGGGCATTTGCTGCACAATTGTGTAAAGTTTTAAGTATCACAACTTGATAAAATTATTCTCATATTTGCTCAGACTCAGCTATAATTGAAAGATGTTCTTTGGATGTGATACCCTAGAAGTGTCAAAGCATCGAAACGACTTTGAAAATCATAAATCAGCTTTCAAAAATGTCAACCAGAAAGTGATATACAGTAGCACACCCTACCAGCAATACAAAATGATGTGACTATAACACGAAAACAAAAATTTCACTCGATTGAAATCTCAATCACTTGGTTTAAGAAACTATAGAACTTGACTATTTATTACAGCGATTATGTTGGCAATTTGGTTTAATCATGGTGGTAACCAAGTCCACTTTGACCTTCTGAATTCTGCAGAAGGTATTGATGAAGTAGTTAATGTATTTTATCAAGCTAGTTCATCAAGTTGAATGACAGCTTCACGACAACACAAGACTAAAGACATTATTTTGTCTCCCATAAATAAAATTATCTGATACAATATCCTCCAATATAGAAGAGCTAGTAGAATTTAAGCCATGTCCTATTATAGATCATCAGACCAGACATAACATAGACCCATTAACCAGAGTTCATTATGAATAATTCTATAGTGATCTTAAAGATACATACACCAATGATAGATACAGCAATACATGTACCTATTTGTTATCAAACAGACAATGCCTAATTGTTTTTCCCAATAAAATATACTTTAGCCATATTCCATTTTTTCACAACTGGTAGGACATATTGTCAGCTCCAAAAGTAAAATAAAGTTAAACTGAAAAGGGGACTTTTTTTTGGTCATATGAATTACACAATCATTCTTTTGATTACAATCTAGGAGAAACCATCAGGTATCCTGCCAAACTTCAATCAGTAATAAAGGATCCATGTGATCACAAAATTAGTGAGGTTGACTTGAAATGAGTCATATAGCCATGCTGCATCATTCCAGATTGAATACATATCTCCTGCCAAGTTCAATTCCCTCATAGGGAATCCTCACACCCACAATACAAGGGTTGGTGATGACATCAAACTTATTTTGTGGAGAAAAATTCCACCATTTTATGGATATTTGAGAAAGACTAGAAAAAAGAATTATCAGCTTATAAACATAGATGACTACATGTAGCTTGGCATCATCTTAATATTAACACATATCTTGTAAATTGGTTTATTTTAAGAATTAATCATTTTTGTATAAATATTTATGTTACACAATAAACAATGTATCTTACAAAATATACACATATTTACAGATGTTAAAAATATGACATTTAATTAGTTATATAACATGATATTTTTATTAACAACACACAATGTAACAATAACCAGGTTTTGCTCTGATTCTGTAAGCAGTAGACATATTCTCATGATAGTATTTTCATATTGATCCATACTAACAATATCATAAATTGTACTTTCATCAGTCAGTTGACTAACACAAAGATCAGAGAAAGGGAAATAAAGACTTAGTTATTTTTTAAACAGTTTTCATGATTTCAATTATCTTCACAATTGTCAAGCTATTACGTACTTTGTATTTATACCTTCACTGCAATAGTCACTATTCTTGTATTAAGGAGTTTGTAAATGAAGCGATTTGATTGGATTGTAGGCTATCAAATACAGCCTCGACAAAAAGTCAGTGAACGGAAAACCATAATGTTTATAGCCTTTCAGTTGACGTACGATCCAATCAAATTACTGTAATCCGTGATACAAGAAAGGTGGCAATTGCAGTCAAGATATAAGAAGGAAATTCATAAAATACATTGTCATTTGCATCAGTATAAATAATTCTGAAAGTAAATATATTTTTCTTGTTAACAACAATATTTATATGGAATTCTATAGTTTATAGAGCTATGAGACAGTAATAGTCATGATAGATGTTTTATAACAGTAAAAGGTCATGGGGGGGATTTAATAATACATGTATGTATTATAGCTTGGGTGGATTTCAGTCTGTCTGCTGGGCAAAATTTAAATCACTACATTATATTACTTTAATTAAACTTTAAAAATTATGAAATTCATGTGGCTAATTTCAAGCATAATCTTTAAGCATACAACAAGCTATATGGATAAACTATAACAAAAACAACAATTCATTACACTCAGTCAACAATATCTATAGGGGCCTACATAGCTGGGGCAATCTACTGTACAATAAAGTACATGTACACTATCTTGTTTCTGTAGCAAGAATTTGTAATGACTATATTACAACATTTAATACCTCTTCTATCACAACAGCTCACACCAACTAGTGTGCATCTAACTTCAAGGTGGTTTTTAAATGTGGGTAAAGGCCCTGATATCACAATGGGTATGAATTAATTATGATCTGTTCAGCATCACTATTCAATATTTTACGAATGATAGAGTAGAACAAAATGTAAATGGAAGGCATTAGAAAGTTTGTCAGTAGGCTTGTACTTGTATTCATCTCAATATTTGTATTATCAATAGAGCAAAATTCAAGATATTCAGAATTAAAATTTGAAGTCCATTTTCCCTCAAATTCCACAGAAGTGAACTGTGACAATTTAAGCTATTGTACATCCAGACCATAATTAACATTATCACATGAATTTGGTATCAATATTACGATCTGGTTGCTAATGACTGTCATTGGAGCTATATGTAAAGTGATATGTATACCTGAAATTTAGCCCAATCATTTGTTCATATAACTGTAATCCATGCTAGTAATATGACTTATTATCTGGTACCAATCCAAATCATGGATGATTACTATATTTTTATTTCTTGTTTATGTTATATAACAAATATTGCACAAAATGTCTAAAAGGGTAAATCCGCCCTCTTCTTATGATCATAACATGAACTGGCTTTTTTAAGAGTCAAAGTCAAAGTTGGACAAAACCAAAATTAAACATTACAATTAGAAAGACTAGTTTTGCATTGGATTCAGGACAATTTACCATCACAAAAAGACTTATCCAAGACTTCTATACATACCATAAGTAGGAAGATCTCAAAACAACATGCAATTGTATCAACTAACAATTGACTAAGTACAACATATGTCTGTAGAAAATGATATATTTAAAGGGATTGTAAAAAGGTTTTCTAAACTTATAATGGGTATTAGGGACACTGATAGCATCAAATTGCACCATTGAAATTATAGTCAGACGATTGTAGTTCTTTCCATTCCGAAAAAACTAAGCATTTTACTATGCTACACGTTTACATTGCTTAGTTTTAGTGGAACCACTGAAGTCTGACTGACAATTGAAATGGTGCAAATTGATGCTATCAGTGTCCCTGATACACATAAATAGTTTACAAAACCTCTCTAAATCTCTTTAACATTGATATTAAAGGTCACATATTGATAAAAAGGATTACAGTGCTAATACCAGTACAATATGTTTTCAAAAACAATGTTTATATCACAATCTGTCTGATAGAATGTTAAATGAACACATTATTAATGTATAAAACCTGAATGTTGTATAAAATATTAAAACATTCCATCAATAATCTGACCAGAGAATTATTTTACGTGATTTTTCACAGCTAACTATAGAAGCACCACAAGGATTCCATGTTACAGCTATCACTGCATGACTGAAAGCAAAAATTTGGGAAAATATGTGAAATCATTAAATTGATTTCTTTAGACCTTTAGACTTCATCTCTACGATTTATAAGTTTTTTTAATATTCTAATTAAAAAAAAATCGTCAAAATCTTAAACACTATTTTTTTCAACTGCTAATATCATAATCCTTTATCAAGGGGAAATTAGATTCTAATTTTCGAATTCACCATGATTAAACTTAAACCTAAATCCAAGTTTAGTCCTAATAAGCAATAAAGAAAGAAAACTTACTTATGTTCTTTGAGCACCTTTTCAATTTTTTTAGTGGTTATATTCCATACATATACTCCTCCATCATGCGACCCACTTGCAACAAAATTACCATCAGGGCTGAAAATATTTCAATGATAACTTATCATAATATGAGAAAGAAATGATATGTCTGAAATTGAAATCTGCATAAGAAGCAGTATGTGTAGAGAATAAACATAGGCCTGCATCATTTACAAATTCAACTTTTACACATATTTCAAGAAATCTCTTAGAATTAAGTAATTTTACAAATTATGTTTTTTAAATGTCCATAAATTGTATCAAATACTAACCATTTAAATCAAGTAGCTTACCTGAATACAGCTCTACCCCAATCACAGCTAGCTTTATAACCATCAGCACTGTAATTACAGATATTAATTATAAATATTACCGGTAATCAAAATATTTATTAAGTTTTTCTACATTATTCATCAATAAATCACATATTGTATTCTTTGGGTTAAGATACATGTTTATAATTCTTTACCTATATTAGTCTATATATCTATGTCTTGATATGTTAGAATTGTTACTATGATACAAATTTTCTCATATTCAAGATCTTCAAAAAATGATTTGTAGGCCTAGTTCAGAAGTCAATTTACTGTCAGTTATTTATACTGAGTTTTTCCACAAAATCTTTTTAAATCAATAGCAATAACATCAAATTATCACACTCTTCTCATGTCTTAAATTTTCAATGATTAAAGCTTATTTTAAGTCATCGTCAAATTCACATGAACAGGATCTCATCAACACAATCATAGACAAATTAAAACTTGACCAAGATCTCATCAATTTACACATATATCAAGATCAACCAAGAGCTGAATTGTGAAATCGAGTTTAAAAGCCAAATTTGACTAAGTCAAGTCATTTCCATGTAGGCATATAAAAATCAATCACAAAAGATGTGTAGATATATTTTTTAGGAAATCAACAGTCAATTAATTGGAAAATTGCCATGATTAATTAATTAAATACTAATACCAGTATTACTCCACAAACATCCAATTACTGGATACAATTAACTGGATCCCATCAACCAAACTCCTGTTAATTCTAGTTTATCAATGGTTAATCCATTAGGGTTAATAAAATAAGAAAAAGCTAAAAGTCAAGGATAACCAACGGGTAACAATCAGCATTTACAGTTGATGATTTGGGACTTGAATATATGTAAATAGTCTTGAGAAGTAATAGAACTGTACGGGGGATTATACAAATAACAAGATAGCTTTTGAACTTTTTGAAGTTATAGTGTATAATATTACCAAGTTTCTTCAAAATCTGTAAATAATTGAACCTTCTAGTGCGATTACGAACGAAAAATTGAACACATTTTCAAGACCAAGGGTAATAACTCATACTAAATATATTTTGATTCTACTAATTTTCAAAAGGTTTAATCCTTGGTTGATAACAAACACTCACACAAAGTTTCGTCAAAATCGTGGCTTCTGTAGTGATTATGAGCTAAACATTGAACGCATTTTCAAGAACAAGCGAAATAACTCATACTAGCTATTTTCTGATTTTTCTGATTTAATCCAGTTGTTGATTTAATTTGAGTTGTTAATCCAGCAACTCAATTCAATCTTCCAAGAAACCAAACCTTTCCCCTATGACCCATGTTTAATTTCATTTTTGTATCAGCACAATTGGTGAAAATGAAATGATTAAGCAAACCTTTTCTCTTGAATGACATTTATAAAATGAAATCAGATAAACTGCTGCATCTTGGGATGTCACATGACTAAGCTATGATTGGATATCTGTCTTGGATTTTCCACTTGGTCTATCTATAGTATCTTATGATGCTGTACATGTATGGTGGCTGGTTAGGGACATGTTAAATGATTAAATTAAATTTTCTTATTTGTTAACCAAAATAGTTTCTCAGGAAAATAATGACATCTATTGTAAATTGTGATTATGAACAAAAAAATTGTGACTTGTAGAGTCTGTCAAGAATTGTGCCTGCTAGAGTGTTTATGAGCTAAAAATTGAACGCGTTTTCAAGAACAAGGGCAATAATTCATACTACATATTTTTCGATTTCCCTGATTTTTCTATAGGGTTTATCCTTGGTTGAATACGAACACTCATACCAAGTTTCGTCAAAATCTGTCAAGAATTGTGCCTTCTAGAGTGTTTATGGGCTAAAAATTGAACGGTTTGCAAGAACAAGGGCAATAATTCATACTAAATATTTTTCGATTTCGCTGATTTTCAATAGAGTTTCTCCTTGGGTGATTACGAACACTCATACCAAGTTTCGTTAAAATCCTTCAAGAATTGTGCCTTCTAGAGTGTTTACGAGCTAAAAATTGAACGCGTTTTCAAGAACAAGGGCAATAATTCATACTTAATATTTTTCGATTTCGCTGATTTTCAGTAGGGTCTATCCTTGGGTGATAATGAACACTCATACCAAGTTTCGTCAAAATCTGAGATGTAATTCTGTGGACATTAAGAGATGTAATTCTGTGGACATTAAGAGATGTAATTATGTGGACATTAAGAGATGTAATTCTGTTAATCAAAATCTGTCAATAATTAAACCTTCTGGATTGTTTACAAGCTAAAATTGAACGGGTACGAATAACTCATACCAATTATTTTTCGATTTTTCTGATTTTCAATAGAATTCATCCTTGGGTGATTGCAAACAATCATATCAAGTTTCCACAATGACTATAATTTAACACTCCAAATTTCACTAAATTTAGATAAAAACTGTACTCTCTATTCTGATAACAAACAAATGTGGACAAATTTTTGTAAGCCAAGGGCAATAACTCAAAAAATATTCATTGAAAAATACCAAATTCGAACTTGACCAAGATCTCATCAATATAAATGATCACACAAACTTTCATCAAAATTACATAAAAACTATAGTCCTGTGTTCACAAGAATTGTTGACGGACAGGGGAGACGGCAATTCACGTGCACTAGCCATATATAAAAACAGTATAATTTTCACCCTAAGCCCTATATCCAACTCTCCATTATGATTATCATATTAATATTTCAAAATAAAACCTGTGAATTTTGAACAAATGGTGGTCGTGGGTTTTAATCTATGTTTTGGCATCTTCACTCATAATTCCAGGTGACCAAGCTGTAAATGGAATAATCTGGGAAATATCAATGCTGAGAGGTTAGACCAAGCCAGGACCAACTGGTAGAAAAGATCCTTTGTTGATATCATTATACACCCTTCCACAATAAATTTGCACATTGAATACATATCAATAATATCCTAAGTGTGGAATATGATTAGTGCTTGATTTAAATACTTACTAGAATGTTGATGAAACTTGATTCATACGTAGATCTAATATTTTCATAGAATCATCTCTAGTAGAACAGAGTAAATTCATTCTATCTGTAATATAAACACATCAACTTATATTTAGGGCCATAATTACTGATTAAAACCTATTCATTGGTTTATTTGGTATATTTTAGTTATAACTCAGTATGATATAAAACCATTTGTTTTATCCAGTTTTTAAACATTTAAAGGGATTCAAAGGGATTTTCTAAAAAAAAATTGTGTTTCAGGGACATTGATAGCATCAATTTCCACCATTCCAATTATCATTCCGATGTCTGTGGTTCTTGTAATTCCACTTAAACTAAGCATTTGATGACATCACTAATTGTAAAATATGCTGTATCACATAAGGACTCTGCGATTAGTGATGTCATAAAACGCTTATTTTTAGTGAATTGCAGGAAGCACAGACGTTTGAGTTTGATTGGAATGGTGCCAATTGATGCTGTCCTTGATACACATAAAATTTTAGAAAACCTCTTTACAATCCTTTTATTTTCTTGCATACTATTAATCATAACCTATTCTGAATTTTCAAATCTTTACCTGGAGATAAATCAAGGGAAGTAATTCTACCCTGCAATAATACTTCATGTGATGTACTATCAGATCGAACATCCCAGAAACGTAATCTTTTATCAAAGTGACCACTGATAATATTATTACCATGTAATGTGACTAAATCATTACAACTTGAACCAGCAAATATTGTTTTTACACCTAAAATATCATCAAATAAAATAGAATGAAAACACATGAAAGTATATAATTATCATTCAGACATATATCTCACTTTTCTCAACTTCATCTTAATTAAAGATTTCACAATGAACTGATATACTTTAAATGATTTTGAAGTTTACTTGAATCAATTGATTATGTAATAATATTTTAAGACTTGTAAACCATTTTCCTGGTTAGAAAAATATAATTCTAAAATCAGTGTGTATGATATTGTATAATCATAATCAAAGTACAGTCAAAGAAAGATATTTATAAACAACCATAATAAGATAAATAGTAATTCAAGCCTGATCTTTACATATATATGTTTATTGTGTTCACCTCCACTCAAACTACTTAAGTTAGACTGATGGACACTGGTGAAAAGTTTTGAATCGTACCTGGACGAGCGAAAAATATTTTTGATTGACTATACAATGTAATGATTGACAAATAATTAGTAATATAGAAATACACTTACAAGCCCTTGTGTTTAAATCCCATATTTTTAATGTTCTATCATGACTACCTGATACAACTTTATTACTATCACCTAAAAACCTGGCAGCAAATACTTTACCACTGTGACCTGTTAATGTGTGCTGAAAAAAAATTTCCCACAGAAAAAATCAAATTAAAGCTTTCAAGACAGAAAAATAAAAGTGTTTTATATAGTGTATTTGTTTTCTTTTGTGTAAAGTTATGCGTAAATCTGCCTTGTGAATTAAGTTACATGAAATGACATGAAGCTTTACATTTTCTCTTCAGTTACAGTAAATTTGATATACTTACCCTTAATCGTTGATCTATCAAAGACCATACCCTACTAGCAAAATCACTAGATGCTCCTAAAACTAAACTACCCTACAACAAGAGAGAATACAATTTATATAAACATTTATAATCCATTGTTCAATCAAATACATGAAGGACTTGCTAATTACTTTAAGAGACATAATTCTGTGGACATTAAGAGATGTAATTCTGTGGACATTAAGAGATGTAATTCTGTGGACATTAAGAGATGTAATTATGTGGACATTAAGAGATGTAATTCTGTGGACATTAAGAGTTGTAATTCTGTGGTCATTAAGAGATGTAATTATGTGGACATTAAGAGATGTAATTCTGTGGACAATAAGAGATGTAATTCTGTGGACATTAAGAGATGTAATCCTGTGGACATTAAGAGATGTAATTCTGTGGACATTAAGAGATGTAATTCTGTGGACATTAAGAGAAGTAATTCTGTGGACATTAAGAGATGTAATTCTGTGGACATTAAGAGATGTAATTATGTGGACATTAAGAGATGTAATTCTGTGGACATTAAGAGATGTAATTCTGTGGACATTAAGAGATGTAATTATGTGGACATTAAGAGATGTAATTCTGTGGACATTAAGAGATGTAATTCTGTGGACATTAAGAGATGTAATTCTGTGGACATTAAGAGATGTAATTATGTGGACATTAAGAGATGTAATTCTGTGGACATTAAGAGATGTAATTCTGTGGACATTAAGAGATGTAATTCTGTGGACATTAAGAGATGTAATCCTGTGGACATTAAGAGATGTAATTATGTGGACATTAAGAGATGTAATTCTGTGGACATTAAGAGATGTAATTCTGTGGACATTAAGAGATGTAATTCTGTGGACTTTTAAGAGATAATAATAAGTTGCTTACTTCTAAATCAAAATCTAAAGCAGTGATACCAGCATTACTACCTAATAATGTTCCTTTCTTATCACATTCGCCTACAATAAATATTAATTTTAATCATAAAAAATCACAAAAGAGATATAAAAACAAGAGACGTGTTAAGTAATTCTACTGTCATCGTGACACAATGAGATTGATCGATTTCGAAATTTATGGGTGAGCAAACGACTTAGTAAATCTTAGTAATATTCTAAGAATAGTATAGATAATCAAGGAAATTTACCATTCCTAATTTCCCAGAGTTTTATTTTTCTATCAGCACCACCTGATGCAAATAATGTACCAGACGGATTGAATTTAACAGAATTTACTTCTCCTTCATGTGCATCCTAGAATGATAAACAAATAATAGTCAGTATATTATGAACAATTATGATATGAGAATAAATCTGCTATGACACCATTTTCTTTGCACCTAATTGTTTACCGATCTTTAATATGCACAGGCTGTTAAACATAGGTCATGTGTTTATTGTCCAAAAAACCATGCTTTTCTCTCACGTTGCACAGAATAAGTGATCTGTCTTGAATTGTCCCATTGACTGCTTGGACTAGATCATATTTGATTAAAAATTTGAATCGAGTCTTATAACATCATTGATTTTATGCAAGTCCAAACTCTGAATTGCAACAGAAATTTTTCAATTTTCACTTGTATTTCAGTAATGCAGTAATACTTGATCAGTAATGCATATACTTACAAATTTACAGATAGCTTTAGTTGGTACTGATGCACTCAGACATACTGGAGGTATTCCTGGTAATAATGCCTTTCCTCTAGAAAACAAAATATCATATAACTGTATTACTCAATCTTATGTTCTACATCTAAAAAACACATGTCAAATATCTTTAATTTTAGGATTTGTGTAATACAAATACAAGCATTTGATAATCACAAACATAATAATAACAACGGTAGTGTTATTATTGACTGTATCAGATCATCTTGTCAACCCATAGAAATCACCAGAAATGGACAAAAGTGGCTGAAGGCCAACTCTCATCACAGATACATGCTGATATGGTTTCCATGTGAATGGATGATTTCCACTGTAAAGAAGTGAGATACAGAATGCAAGCATGGCAGAGAGTGCCTTGACTACAGCAACCATTCCCACGAGCATTATTCATTATTACCAGCTGATGGCTGATTGACTCTCATGAAAGGACTGGACACATTATCTCCAATTTTTTAAGAACGATAAAAGTTTCTGAAAGATGGATGCCATTGACAAATCATGCTGTTTGAAAGCAGATCTCAATGGATTAAGCCCCCACAGACTTCTACCTGTTTCTAAAGATTGGAAAAAATAATGATGACGTCATATCCACTGTGAATGTGTATTCTCAACTATCAAAGAATATCCAGCCTGGAGGGGGATTATCTAGATAAATAAATGAAAACTAATGACTTGCTACTGGTTTTTCAAGGTTAGGTTTAGAACCACTTCTTCCCACAGTCTTCCTATATTCTCAATTTTCTATAATATCTACAACTTACTTTTCTGTTATATTTAGTGGTTCTACTGCTGCCTCAGCCAATTCTTTACGTAATTTAGCTGCTCGTTGTCTGTAATATAATTAACGTCAACATTGAATCATCAATTTGCATTTATGATCACAATATAATATTCAGTGCATTTTTTCCAAAGAGGATGGGGCAAAAATATATATTCAATTTTTGTTAATATTTGTATTTATCAGTTTGAACAAATGGTTTGAAAAGGGGATATTAAAACAGATTACCTCTCATCATCTCTTTTATCCACAGTGGAAAGAAGTAGAGAGAAAAGGAATAAAGATGCAAATATATAAATCATATTAATGTCATTATTATAGAATTGGAGACATCAACAAGACGATGAAGATTTTCAGTATAGAGCTTTTTCAAGATTTCAAAAACTTTCTTTCTCTACATCAAGAGACATCGAGAGATCCAATTATTGGGACATCAGGCCCAAGGTAAGGATGTAACTAAAAGCAAATACCTTCTAAATGAATCATTTTCTTCATTTAGTTTATCAGCATCTTTTGATTTTAAATGTAGCCATCTTTCAACTAATTCTCTATTTTCATCTTTGGATTTACGATATTTTTCTTCTATTGTAGAAAATGCTAATTGTAAAGCTTGATGTTCATCTTTCAACATCTGAAACACAAATGATGACATTTTAATTATCATTTTGATTTATGATCATGTAGTTTCAATATTTCAAGTGATTTTATGAAACAATGAAATTTTTGATTATTCCGTTATTCACTACGGTTGAAATTCTATTATGAATTTTTCAGATAATGAAGATGTGACCCCTTTCAATATGGATATATCATGATAGGTAATGATATTCTTGCAGCATCTTTAAGTTTACTTCTTTGAAATCTATTTTCAGAAAAAAATGAAATGGAAAACTTTCATTAACTTTTATAGCTGTTAAGATTAAGTATATGTAGTATTCAAATGACACACTTCATTGATAATACTCAGAATAAACAAGTGTTCACTGTACAAGTGTCACAGGAACAATTGCTTTACTTCTGCCATAATGCTTAACAATAACACAGGGAAATAGAGAAATAATAAAGAAATAAAGTAGTGAATCATACTTGATTTGTGGCTTCTAATTCTAATATTGTGGCTTCTAGATTTTTCTGTTCTGTCCTTAAAGCATAAACTCTCACTTCAGAATCTGCTAACCTAAATGGAAATTTTTGAACAATGAAAATTTTACATTATGCCATTTCATTTATCATCATTGTTTTCTGTTCTTTTTCATTTCATTGTTTTTCTATTACATAAGTTTTGTCATGTATGGTTTACATCTTGCATATCAAACAAATAGCTCAACAAGTGGTTGCCTAGCAAGATACACCGACTTCCCTGATAAATTTTCAGTATATCAAAGGCAGTCACTTATGTGTGTCAAATCATACCAAAAATCTAATTTGTCCAAGATAGTGTTGATTTAAATAAACACATAAAATTCTGACATAAAGTGTCACCTCTATCACATTCAGAAGCCAACAAATTTTAATGCATTTTTACTATGTCAAGGGCAAAAACTCAAATTCCGTTTATCAAAAAATTGTCAAATCCAAACTTAACCAAGGTCCATTTGTAATAGATGATCATACTAAATTCAAAAGATAGCTTGCCAGGCAAGGTAATATACGCCCACTGATAGCTTTGTTTGAAATTGAATATTTGTTGGAAAATAGCAAACATAGATAGACACCAGGAAATATTCAACTTATACCCAAATCCATCACAAACTGTGCCATCACAAGTTAAAAATCAAACACATTTGTAAGAATAACGGCAATAACTTGTATTTTATATTTCAAAAGGTTTAGTTTTGATTGTGATCAATTTCATCAAGTTGTCACATTTGTTTTAGACTTCTGCTTTGTAGAATAAAAATTACGTGTTGTACAAGATTTTTGATCAGATTTATCCTTGGGTGATTTCAATAAGTCTGTCATGAATTGTGTATTTGCAGATTATATTCAAAACTATAGGCAATAATTCATACTACATATTTTTCGAT